ATGTCAAAGCGTGGATGGAGCATCTATTGTTGACGGATTAATGAGGAGGAGTCAGTTGATTTGTGTTGACCCAGGTCAAAACGCGGAGAAAGTGGGTCACCCATCGGGAAAGTAACTCAGAGACAACTGTTGTTCAAGCATAATTCCACTGTTCTCCAATGGCATAAGCACCGATTCATCATACAATAGGTCAGAGATACATGATCTTGGGTCATTGTGTAATAAATAGCATTAGATCAGTCAGTTCTATCTCTGTCGGGGATACAATTTCTGAAGCTGAATTGTTCTCATGTAAAGATCAGATTAATAAAGATGTCGGCAGGTATATGAAATGAGTCATAGTATTCTAATACAGAAGTTCTAAGGTTTGCTGCAAACTAAGACGGTCAGCGTATGAAAATGCTTTGTTCAACACTCTTGGTGATTCGGCAACAACGACTGCGCTTTTGTAATCAGTAATCTTAGATAAATATAATACATCAGAAATTGCAATGTGACTTACGTATTCTTTGATATACTGAAGGAGAAGGAAACACACACTCAGCTCCATGTCCATAGAAGACCGACTTCATATCCATTATAACAATCAAGAAGTACACGCCAGTTGTTTGGTAATAAATGATGCCCGACTAAAGTTGTAAAACTGTTGTATTTCATTGATCTCGGTCGATCACTCTTGGTGATTACTCATTTGCTTCAGTTGTTTTTTCGGCAATCTAAAAACATCTGTTCCTGCTGAAAGAAACTGAAAAATGTTTTTGAATGCAAAAAGAAAAATAGAGTAAGTTCTTCATTGTCACTCATCATTTAATGTACCGTAAATTCGTTGTTTCGAAAACTTAATGACGAAAAATGTTAATGCGATATTTTGGTACCCAGATACGCACACATTTCTTGATAATGGTGAATTTTTTTTATTTCCTCCCCTCTTACTCCCTTTATCGCTATAACGTTAAGACTAACTTTATAAGCCTCAAATTTGCTTGATAAGATAGACTTTGTCAAGGACATACGACTCTAATAAGATTAAATGTCATGTCACGTGTAATTAGAAGTATGTTATCAGTTAGGAACGATTACTTATCTCGAACACTATATTCTCCTAAGTATTTTATCAGATGTTCTCTTGTAGAGACATGCTGTGATTGCTCATTTTTTCCTTGTCAACATTTGATACTTTTTACTTGTTCAGACCCAATTATCTATGGGAAGAACGTCTGCTCTGCTCTTCAGTTTCGGGCTTCTGATTGCCTCAGCTGAATCGTTCTCATGTAAAGATCAGAATAATAAAGATGTTGACTGGTATATTAACTGTGTCATAGAATTCTAATATAAAAATTCTAAGGTTTGCTGCTTATAAAATGCCAATAGAGAAAGAAAACTCTGCAAATGGAATTGCTGGAGGAACTGCTTTTTATTATGTTGACTCCAACGTCAAAGGAGCTTTAAAGGCTTCAACTGAAACTCTAGATTCGAAAAATCAAGCAATTGCTTACACTCTTCAACAGTTTTACGATCGTCAAAAAGATCAAAACGTGTTCCACGTTATGTATAATGATGAGGTGAATACAGTCCAGCTTCTAAAAACCTTTTATTAGCCTTATAACACTACTTCTTCTTTCTCTGGAAAACTTCGTGAAGAGATGATCAGAGCTAATCGCCTCTCAGAAGCGGCTTCTATTCAGTTCGGACACACAAAGGGTGAACTTTTTTTCTTTAATAGCATGACTTTCTCTTTTAAGGTGTGTCATTCTTCGATAAAACAAGTGGTATTTGGCTCGTACACAGTGTTCCAAAATTCCCTCCAAATGATCATTATGAGTATCCAACATCTGGACACGATTATGGACAGACAATGCTGTGCATGACATTCAAATATGAACAGTTACAGAATATTTGTATTCAGTTCATAGCTAACATCTCTATTACTATATATCTTTCAGCTACGCAGTTGTTCTATAATCATCCTGATATTTATTCTTCGAATCTCCCTGCCAGTATGGCGTCTGATAATCCAGATTTGGCTGTGGTAAGATATTAGCAAATAGTTATAACTAATCAAGGTTATTTGTGGTTGTTCGCTGGAAAATTCAAACAAGGAAGTCCATACAGCCGTGTGGTTACTCTGAGTACTATTGGAGGAACTTCTTTTACTTCTTTCGCTAAAACCAATGAGTTCAATAATGGTTCGAAAATATATGTATAATTGTACTCAGGCAATATATTCTCAGATCTTTATGATGGTTTAATCGCTCCCAATCTCAGAACCAATCTTAAAGTTGAGACATGGAGAAGAGGATCTGAGGTCCCTCTGCAGTGTAAAAACCAGTATCATGCTTTAGATGCTCAAGACATCAAAGTATAACTTTTCATTCAACCTGGTTATAATAGTTTTTTGATCAGGTTGGGGACAGTTCGGCATTCAAATACACCAAGGATCATTCTAAATGGGCACGTTCAGTTGATGCTTCAAAACCTTATATTTGCATTGGTGATATTAACAGAATGGTGAATTCGTAACACAGATTCATAGTATAACATTTTTTGTTACAGACCAGCCAGTTTGTACGTGGAGGAGGAAGTGAATGTATTAGCAGTACATTCTTATGGAACGCATTCAATGTTATGCAAGATACAAACTCTTGTGCAGCATAGATATTGAGAGACACTTTATTGTAAAGATAAAAGAAATAAATTCTTATTGAACTGATGTCGCAAACTTTGAATAAAAGACAATTATTGATCTCCTTCTGGTTAGAGCGTCGTCAGTATTTCATAAGATGTTAACGGCAGGACGGCTTTTTCTCCATTTTCAGTTTTCGGCATTTCTGAACCTTTTTTAAGCTTTTTCTGACCCAAACATGTCGGATGTAAAAATTTCATAAATGAGACTCTCAGAATCTTGATAACCGAATTGAGCATTCTCATGTATTTGTGTTATTCAATTTTTGTTTTGGGATTAACACACTCACGACCGCGTGTACTCATTGAGTACATTTTGAACATTTTCGTGTACTCAATGACGCAATTATCTTAACGCAATTTGCGTACTATTTAAAAAAAAAAACAATTTTTATTATTTTATCGAACACTTTGTTTTTTTGATGGTTTATTAGAATAATAAATTTTCGTGTGGTGCGATTTACATAAAGTGTCTCGGAATGCAAGAGGGTCACATCGGTGATATTGTTAGAGAGTGATCTATATATAAATTCAGAAACTGAGTGGTGCTTAACTAAAGAGACCTTCGTAAAACAGATCTGAAAGTGAGAAGTGATATTCAATGTTCGATTATTTTGTTTTCATAGAAATTTTCAATTGTTCATCTTACTTTATGTTTGCCACAAATTATTGTTTTACACATTTTTACAATTTATTTTCGTATGAAGAGATGATGATAATTGCTAGAAAAAGGACAACTAGACTGCTTATGATTTTGTTCACTTGTCTCGGTTCATTATTCTCTCCTCCAAGTCGAAGAAGATTCTCGCCATGAGGCGAACGGGAACGCATTCTGTGTATCCCATACTCTCCGCTTCTTTGATTAGAAAACCAACCAAGAGAGCAGTCTGAAAATTTTTCTTATATTGACTTACTGAACTACTAACTAGTTTTCCTACCTCTTCGGAAAGTGGATGCTCTGAAGAATTGTCAGATGATCGTTTCAGCATAATTCCACGACAGGCTGGTGCAAAAGAAAATTTGCTGAAATATTTTTATACTCATATTTCATTGATAGCGAGCTTTTTCAGATATACCGACAGTCCAGGGCAGTGGAAACACCAATGCAGAGCAGAATAGCGGCAATGATAAAGTTGCGTGACAGCATGATGATGGCTGAAGAAATTGAAGGCAGATACAACAGCCAGAGAATAGAATAATATTCAGGGTAGAAAATTCTTTTTATATGAAGAAGGAGGAACATAGCAAATTGAGTTAGCAGAACAAGAAGTGCCCATGATGATATGATTAATGAAAATGCATTCAAGAGAATTATAAGTTGATTTTTCAAAATTCAAAGGATTTCTTTTTTTGAGAAAGATCAAATTTTGTTAATCAGAGTGGTCTGATGATATTTCATGATAATGATTGGAGCACTCTCTATCGTCTACGAATGATGTTCATCCTTTAAAGAACTATGATAATTTCTAGTGTAAAGGTCGAAATTTTCGATCTTAACCGAATCAAAAATTGAGAGTTGTATTGCCTGAAGGCATACTACTTAGCGTTGAAACTTCCATTAGTAGCCAGATTAGATTTGAAACTGAAGTGAATATAACTTTATGAAATTAGCAGTTAAAAGAATATTTTAGCCACGAATCCGGAATGCTTTAGAAGTTAAACTTTGGGTTTCTGAGAATGAAGACAAACGTGTGGATCTATCAAAATGAAAAATTTCTAAAACATGATACTGAACCGAAACCAAAACTTGTATTCCTCTCAATGTAATACGAATTTCTGGCATTTCGACTGGATGAATTTTTATTTCAAGACCGATGACAAGAGAACCATAAAAAGTCTGAACGAAAACTTATTCCACTGAAGTGTTTCTATGGTAGTCAGGAAATCTTGATTGAAAGTGGAGAAACGCTTGAGCGATGTCATAGAGTTCAAACATAAAAATTGTTTATTGAATGGGACTTTGTTATATCACTTCAAAACACAGAGGGAGAGAGAGATCTCAATAAATAAAACACTTTGTTCAGAGTTACTTCTATGCGACCAATTAGCAGATAAAATCTAATCCATCGGGATCACGTGAAAGACGAATAGGCAAGAAACCAACTTCTCCTTTATTTTTACCACGATTCTCGGCGATGACCCTTATCTGAGATTGGCATAAGAATCAGAAAAGTAATTTGAAGAGTACTCACTCTATACACTCCTTCAGGAAGTCTTGTGCATCTGATATTCCACTTTCTATTTTCCTTCAAAGCGCTATTTCAAGAATTATACGGATTCAAATAAAACCTCAATATTAGGAGACATAGTCAAGTTGTTTTTGGAATAAAAACAATCCATCTCGCTTGTGCAGATAGACAACGTTAAGCCTTCAGTAGCAAAATATTCATAAAAGCAAAAAAACGTATCGGTCGAGGGAACTTGTAGTATGTCAGATACCAAGATGTAATTGTTGACAACATTATTCAAAAATGATGCAACCAAATATTTCTGAGCTGAAACGGATATACAACTGGAATAATTCTTATCTTTTCATTTCTTACCAGTTCCAGGACCGTATGGCACACCAGTCAAAGGATTAGCCGCACGGTTCGTTGATCCAATCTCCCATAAGTTTGGTCCGGAAGATCTCCAGAATTTACAATTCAAATCTGAAAAAATCACTCACTTTCTCTTCCTTGCTTTTTAATTACCAGATGGGTTACACGATAAGGCTATGCACGTTTCGAACAATGTGGGAATTGAGGGACCAGCGTTTGCTGAGCTTCTTGCTAACTCGGAGGCCATTGAGGGTGGAACCAAGGTTGGCTTCGTATCTTGTAGTTCACTCATACCGTTTACTAAAGGTATGGGACGAACATGAGAAGATGAAGCGGATAGCTTGCGATTTTCAAGTGAAACGAGAGATTGATAGTTATTTTTGAGCTGAAATGAAGAAAAAAACTCTTTGATATAGTTTGGTTGGCTACCTTTCCTAAAACAGCTTCCGTAGATTGCTCGTCTAGGAGAGATTGAGTGTTCTCGTCACGAGCAAAATTATGAATTGTTTCATCGACTTGCTCAGTAGAACAAGATGTCGTTCCTTCTATTATAATGTCTTGCAAGAAAATGGCTCCTCCTGATGGACCGATGAAATTGTATCCGTTAATGATCACCTTAATGTTATTTGCTGATCATCGAGACAATATTTCTACCTGAGCTGGTAGTTGAGGATCATTCGCAACTGGAACATCAACTGACATTGGTATACCATTTCGTATTTCAAAGTCGGCGCAGTTTATAAGTGGCATACGCTCTTCTCCTTGATTTCTGGTACAAACCTATTCCTAACTTAATTAGAGAAATCAGGTTCACTTTACTTGAAGTTTTGGTTCATTTCCTTGATCAGAGTTCTTTGATCTCCAAACTGTAGCAGTTAGTTTTAAAGAGCTACCGATGCATGGCACTAAGTCTGACTCTAATCGTCCACCTTCCCAGCCCTGTCTAGGACCTGATACCAGAGCACCCGCATATTGATCTATAATTATTCTTGAGCACTGGTAATATTCTCAAATAAAACCAGGATATGTTTGTACTTCCAAATACGGGAACCACTGCTCAGATGTTGAAACTCTGTTAACAGGAGCCCAATCTAGTTCATCATCTCCACTGTTACGCCATCTGCACTTGTTTGATTCCACGAAGAGAGCGCAATTTAAGCCAGCTGACGGCTGAGACTATAGATGATATTTCTGAGAATTAGTGTGTTTTTTGTATCGTACTTCATCCATCATCATTTCCAATCTGGGAGATGAACTCAAAGAACTATCACGAGCTACGTTGTGCTGCTCCGATCTTGCTATCATCATTCTAGGCATCATATAAGGAGCTGGCAGAGGGTTGACGGAGTTTGGATAATATATTGCTACATAAATGTTAATGTAGGTTATGTTTGACTGACTTACGAGGAGCAACCGCTGGATTGTAACCAAAACCCAACGGCCCGGGAAAACAAGCAAGACCTATGCGGGTGAATTGGTAAAAATATTAAAATGTTCACTCACTTGAGATAAAAAAACTTGAAAGGAGCAAGATGTGTTCAAACATCTTGTTAGACAACAATCTGTCACAAAATACCTCTACAACACAACAGCACGGACTGTACGAAAGTAAAGCAATGATATGGGAGGTATCCTCTAAATTCAATGACCAGTTAGATTACTAATCCTATCATGATCCAAATCTCTTGTCCATATTACTTTTTTTCAGGTTCTATTGCCATAAACTGCTTAAACCTATGTGAAAGCGTTTGGATTTCAATAGATGACAGATGATGGTCATCTATTTTACAGGTTTACTACTATGATGACCTATATTTTTGAGCTCATAGTATGTATGAGCGAAATGATTCGTTCGGATTAGCAAGATGAATAAGCAGATGCGATTATCTATTCCTAACCAGTATTCTCATTTTCTGAACAACTTTTTATGAGGATCTAGTTTAATAATAATCTTTATTAGTTCAATGAAGCGAAAAAAAAAGAATTCAATGCAAGTTTATAAATTATGACTGTGATTTTGATATTGAATCTATTGAAATACAGAAATCTTAACAAGTTGAACATTCATCGGTGTTTCTCTTAGAGAAATAAAAAGTGTTTGTTCTTGAAAAGTCAGCAATCTATTGTTTGTATGATTCGGAATGAAATATATCCAAGAATAATGAACGTTAAAACTTTTCTCATATAAATTTATTTTATTTTTCAACAAAATACTTTCAATTAACGATATTGTAGAGCATTTCGTATGCTAGCTCATAATCTGTTGAAAAAATTTTTTTTTCGATGAACTGAAGTGAAAAGATTAATCAGTTATATTATTCACATTGACCAAATCCATTAATCATTCTCAGATCCTTTGATTGCTAGATTTCAGCATTGCATTTTTGATTGGAAACCATTATCCTTCACATTTTTTTCCATTCAATTTTCTAATCACTTTTTTTATTTCTATAGAAATTCCTCATATGAAGATTCAACTAAATTACATGAGTCCTGCGTTCGCTCTTTCAGCAATATATAAAATTCATAATACCACATGACGACACATAAAATTGGATGCATTTCTGAAAGAAAGAACATTCAACACTTCAATTGAATTTTTCACAACTCGCTCATGTAATACGTTTGGAAGGAAAATAAAGTGTTTATTTAAGATAGAAAAAATTGAAAAGAAAGGAACGAAAATTAGATAGACTTGGTAGACACACAGATCTAATATAATTAACTTTTCATAAAAGTAGAGCTTCTTAGAAAGTATATTTGCAAATGGTTGGAAATAGAGCAGAAGAAGACAATTATAATAAACAAAAACTAACAATCAAAGTATTGCGCCATGAACTGGCTATTGAATCTTTTTTTTGTTAAGTACTACTGTTGACGTAGGTACTTTTACATACGTTAGCCAAAAACCTAACGATACATAACTGATACTGATCAATCAAGCTCTTGATTTTGCTGCTAGCCTAAGAAGGTTTTTTTCGCGTTCAGTCCAAAGTTGTATCGCTTTGCTTGAAATATTCACAGAAAAAAACAAAACCATCTATCAAAGTTTCTCAAACCGTCAGGACTCCGTTCCTTTTTAGTTGTTCTAACTCATTTAGACCAGATCTCACTTATTCCCATATTTAAAGTTCTATGTTCTTCAATAGTTTTCTATCAAGAATATACTTAAGCATTCCTCTCAAAGAATATGATGTAATACGGATTGACTCCGCCTCTCCAATTTTGTTGGGAAAAATATTTCTACGTTCTCCATTCATAGTTCTAATCCTATTGACCTAAAGAAGCTACCATTGTCTTGAAAGTTTGTATATTATTCAGACATAATAGAATTTATTGTTTGACTAATAAAATCATAGGATCTCAGAACTCTCAGACAAATTCATCCAATTTGCAATTCGGGCATTCCAAGTATTAGTTGAGTATTCTGCTACCACCCCGAACGGTCGCTCACTATTGAGTTTCTGCGTCCTATTCGAAACGTGAGTTTGCAGCATTTTTCTCTTGAGAAACATCGTTTGCGTTTCTAGTTACAATTTATTCACGATGAACACCGATGAAAGTGAAAATGACATCATTAAATCTAAAAAGCATGGAGAGCTTGTAGATTTCAAATCTCAGAATGAATCTGGAAAAACTGTTGATGAAGAAGACCGTACCCCAGACAATGTTTCATTTGGAAGCAACTCTTCATTTAATGAGCATCTTTACATGGCCAGTGACGAGGAATCTCCCAATTGTAGTAGAAGAGATTTCCAAATTCCATTTCTTCGTGACGTGTATTCGTTCTTAGTTGATTCTGTCGAGTCAGGATCGAGTGGCTGTCAAGTAACAGCAGATCCAGTGACTGGTGAAAAAACCTACACAGTCGATGTTAGCTTGGATCTGGATGATGAAAAAGCTAATGAGCATCCGATCCAGTCTAAGGAAAATGCATCAAGCTCATCTACGTCCGTGGAAGGTACAGCAGAGCTTCCTTTTCCTGTTGAAGTGGAAACTATTCTATCTCTTCCATCCACTGAGGAAAAGAATATCAAAATTAAAATGGATCATTTGTCTTTCGGTCCAGGGCGAATTGAAGCTTTTTACTCTCACCCTGTTCCGCTCCAACACCCTCTCACCGCAGGGACACGTTACTACGCTACAAATATCTCCACTGTAAAACAAGCTCTGGCCACCATGCAATGTTTGATAAGATCTTTCACTAGTCACCGTGGAGCAGAGCGCGTAACTTATAAAATCAATGACAATCTCATTACTAAAAAAAAAACACTTCTGTACGAAATTGAAGAAGTTCTATATCATTCTTCTGAGGAGGAGTCTTCTGATCCTAGTGTTCAATCCAGCAGCTGGTTGCAGGAATCCACTGTTTCTGATCGGGATGAAGACCCTGAAGTTGTAAACTATCGTGGAACGAACCTACCAGTGTTCAGCTGTGTGATCTGTCACGCTGTCGGCTTAGTAATTGATGAAGTCATAACAATCTCAACAATGGTTGATCGTGATGGAAACAAAATTGCTAGCTGCATCATTGAAAGATCAGTCTGTTCAATTGCTGAAGGTCTGGAGCAGTCGCTCAAGTTCAACACGGTTATTGCTCAGCAATCTGCTAAAATGAGAAATAACCAGCCAACCTTCGATGAGTTCTCCAAAATTTTACTGAGACCAGGTTTTCAAATTCCTTTTTACAGTAGTGTACTGGCATACCTTTCTAAATCCATCAGAAATGGTTTGGCTATTCACGCTGAAGTTCGAAACCCTTTTACACAGGAGCTTATAACAGTTTATGCTATTCAAAAAAGTATACCAACATCTGACGCTCGGAGATTCTCCGATATTCTCAAGTCTGAAGAGTTCTTCACTCGCTTACATGAAATGAAGAACTTCCGAGCAGCTTATAAAAACAAGCTTGATCGTCGAGACGATTTAGAGGGCGAATCAATTACTCTAAGCTGCTCCTTCCTATCTTGCTTCCGCTCTTTCTTCCATTGATTTATAGTAGGAAAACGTCTGGCAGTTTCCGTTTAATTATTTGTGTGGTAATAGAAAAACTTGATTAATGTTCTAATTGCTTTTATACCAGAAATTACTGTGTCTGCACGTTAATGTATGCAAATTGAAAAAGAACTTCGCGGCGGGATCAAGAATGACGTCGAGCGATGCTTTATGATCGAACCAATTCAGTTTTCAAAGTACCTTCTTCCGTGACCTTATTAATTAACTTTATGTTTACCGAGCTATTAGCTGTCATAATAAAACTTTCAAAAATGAGCTAATTGTATCCATAACTAGGCTATCAACTGTACTTTATTACCAGTTTTCTGTGACGGATGTAGCGTATATTATTTTGTATTTTTAATTAGTAATAAAGTTTCGTTCTGCAGTTGCTTATCAAGATTTTTTCTTATAACAAGCAGCTAGAGAAGCATCATTGCACAAAAATTTCTAGAGTTTCGGATGTAAAAATTCATAAAACAAAGTCCAACGGTTGGATTAATATTCAATGATCCAACAACGCTTTTGCTTAAAGCAGACATCATAACTTCAGATATATACATATGAGAATTTTAATTTATTTCGTCCCGAAGGAAAGTGAAACAATAGACAATTCACACCATGCTTTGTTTTCATTGTGTTCACACTCACACTTTTGTTTATTTTGGGAAATCTCAATAATTATATCTAAATTATTCTGCAGTTTCCAGAACTTCCAACACGAACTATATCTGATTGATAGACTGAAGGTCATGCAACTGACACATATTTATTTACAAAGTCCTTGTTTGTACTTTGCGCATGGAAGAAGAGAAAAGGGAAACAAAATGCAAAATGCGATCTACATCTACTATATCAAAAACAGTTTGATAAATGAGGAGAAAAATTATTATTCCCAACTACAAACAGGAATCGCAATTTAAAACTGAGCAAAAACTTTACTCCAAATCAGATAACTATATCGGAACGAACTGCAAATGTTGACAAAGAGAAAATGAAAATTATCGTAAAAAATAAACATTATCATAAAAAAAACAAATTCAAATGGTTACTGGAAATAAAAACGTCTTTGAGGTCACTAAAAGTGCTTATCAATCATGATTCATGATATCTTTGATCTGCCTGAGAAAGTCTTCATTGTAGGTCGTCAGACACATTTCCTTTGAACACCCGGTTCGCGTCAATCAATGTTTGCACTTACACAATGACAAAACATTTCTGGAATATCTCATAGGATCACTCAACAGTTCTCTTGTGTTTTTCTTTGTGTCTCTGGATAATTTGCAGTTCAAACGAGTTTATGGCGCCATTTTTCAAAAGTTTAGTTTATTTTCTGAAACTTAAAGTTTCTAACTATTTTAGAGCATAATAACAACAATAATGGTTCTGACGAGCGAGCTGCCCATAACTGGGAAGTAGAGCATAACAGATTTTGTGTAATTTTCTTTTATTTCTTATCATGTTCATAATCTAATTTTTTGAGAATACAAATTTTTTACGCAAATGGAGGAAGGTAGTTTGTAATTTAGTACTTCTACCGAGTTTCAAATTATTATAGATAATTGTCAGGATGGGCAGAAATCTTCTGTATGATGAGGTAGGTACTTTTCAAGAGAAGAAATACAGTATTCTTCCAGATTGGAGAGTATAGGATCAAGTTAATGGTTTGCGTCTGAATTTCAATAAAAAAACTCATAGTTAAACTGCTTTAGAATAGAAGTTCGCCGCTACCGAAACATATTGTAGATAATGAGCTACACCCAATCTCCAGAAAACGCTATTTGGCAAGTTAAACATAAAATTTAATGCTAAAAATATTTTCAGGAGTTGCAAACCATCATGAGGAAAAATAAAGAAAGTTATAAAAACAACACTGTTTCATCTCTCAGTGTAAGTCGACTTTTGAACAAACGAATTCAATCGGACTGCTCTCGTCAAGTAAATTACTTTAACAAACATTTAGATGAAAATAAAGTTTTTTTTTCCAGAAGTATTGCTCGAGCAAAGACCTCAAAAGAAAACACCAAACTCTTTCAACAATCGAGGAAGATACAGAATGAAAAATGTAAACGTAGTGTTTTACTGAACTATTGTTATAAAAATCAAAAACGTGGAAATTTTGCAAAATTAATTTTGTACCACTCATTCATCTCAGGTGAAAAAGGACAAGTCGTAGTACATCTTCTTATCCACCATTAGTAGTACAAAATCCAGGACGCAAACCTGAAATTGAGAATTTTTTTTTGCAGGGGTTGAATGAGCATACAGTATAAAAAGTCATGAATAATCCCAAAAGTTCAAAAAGAGCAGGGTACTGTAAAACCTTTTCACTGAAAACATCTACGCATCCCTAAATGAGAATGGGATGATTGGTTGGATTTCATTCTTTCCAACTTTTTTCTTCACTAAATATTGGAATATATGTGCAGTATACATAACTTTGTTGCATATGTGATTCAAAGGTTTCATACCAGAGAGAGGAGTGTTTTCATCTATTATACAGCATGATGAAGGTACAAAGGCTTTTTCGTCTGTATCTTGATGTTTCATGAACCATTCACTGAAGTAATAGTCTTCAGGTTGTTTAGCGCCACAGCAGTCATTCTGTAATGAGAAGCAACTTCTCAATAACTTCTTAGTTCAAGTACATAGAATTGAACTTTATCCATTAACAAACTTGCAGAAGGATCCACCCCGTAACGGTGCAAAGCCAGATCGCTTGTGAAGTTTTTTAAAGCAGTTTTATCGAACTGAATTTTTATCTTATTTCTCACAGTTTTGTATAGGTATCTACATTTTTCTTGAACTCACGAGCTATTAAACCCTGAGCTCCTTGCATGAAACTGACGATGGCTAAACCGAGATAAACTGAAAACATGTTTGAAAACTCCAGAACTTGGTATGTCGAATTTTATATATCTATATATGATTACCACACTTAGAACTGATCGAACTTTTCCAAACAACTCCAAAACTCCCAAGGAACAAACTATACTTCGGCAAATGGCGATCCGAGAGGTTCGGGTCGGATTTCGGATCAATCCGATTTTCAAAAATATGCCGAGTCGGATTTCGGATCAATCCGATTTTCAAAATCGGATCGATTCGGATTGCGGATCAGTCTCGGGTCGGGCGTATTAACGGTGTTGACATATAATGAGATATTCGATACTGTTTCTAACAGTTAAAAAGGGAGAAAAGCAAATGAAGTATAAGTTTATTCAATAGCGATATAATTGTCGTTATCATTTTCATTATCGTTGTTATTATCGTTGTCATTAGCGTTGTCATTGTCGTCTTCATCCTCTTGGTCTTCGTATTGGTCTCCAGTTTCTTCCTCTTCATCAGAAGAAACATCTATAGTTTCAACATTCGGCCCTGCTCCTCCCTCGTGATATCCTGCCCAATTTTTGGAGTAATCTTCTTTCCTAAGTTGATATTGCTTGTAAACTCAGTAACCAACTAACCTTATATGCTTTTAATTAGCAGCCACCACAAGTAGATTTCGCGCATTATGTCCTGACAATCGTAGCCTGCGCTTGTTGCCGTATATGATCCCAGCACAACTAAAAAGAGAAATTATTAGCTTTTCTTTCTGTTTAACAGACGAGAAGATTCTTTCACAGTCTGAGGAAGCAGCTGGGTTGCATAGCATGATGGGAGTTGAAGATCTGATAAAGTTGAGTTCTGTTCTGTTGCTCCACCAATGCAATAGATTTCTCTCGACCGATAGCCGCTCTCGGCGTAGAAGGTTACGGAATTGCGAGAATTCTTGCTTGAAAGAAGCTTAAAATAAATTGGAAATAACGACTCACGGTGAATGAATTTCTCATAGTCAGTTTTCTTCTCTTAAGGTAATCTTCTTCTAAGTCGGCCCATAGGTTGTTATTATGTTTTTGTGGAAGGGAAGGTTTTGAAGAATTTGCCGTAATCAAGAATGGAGAATATGCTGGGTACAGCTCATTTTCAAGGATGAGCCACTGTGTCTCAGTCTTCAAGGCAGGATGGAACGTATATCTAAATAAGAAGAACATAAAACTTTTTTTCAAATTTTTTGTACCTGGGATCTAAGAGTAGCAGCTTCTCCAAGTCCTTGTGATATACAATTTCGCTCCCAGTTTCTTCAATGAAGGCTGCGCACAAGCTCTTACAATCTGTTGATAACCGTTCAAGTAGCAAGTTCTTCAGCTTGGGTTTACAGAGAAGCAAACTAGCAATAATGTCTGTACTAACAGATGAGCTTCTAGAAGCCTGGTAAACTATGTATTTAGAATTAATATCGATAAACTCACTGTTACAGATAATTGATAGAATAGAAACAAAACACTTTCAACCACTTTCATTGTTTTGATATTCTCTACGCCAAGAGCATCTATGTCTACATGTTCCAACATCTCTTGGAAAGGTTCAATCAGCTCGATAACATCACAGAGAGTAGAGTAATGACTATCGTTCTGTTTGACTTTCGGATGTAGCGGAAATGAAGTCTCAACAGATGTGTTCATAATAAGAATAATTATTATAGTTAGAATGGTTTATTAAGAGTAAGAGTTAATATAACATGGAGTTCTAAAGATATACAACCGAATATCTATTATG